GATCTCGAAGAAGCTGGTGCACCTCCTGGGCTGGGACGAGTGCGCTCGTCAGGTTCACTTTGAGATAAGTTCAACATACAGGCCGTCCAGCCCGAGTCTGCGAACCGCACGATCTCAAAGCATAACAGTTAGAAACTTCCAGTTTATCAAAGCTCAAGGTATAAGTTAGTTACCTACAGATCGGAATATTTTCGCTTGCTAAATGACATGACAACATCTCTTTCGCTAAAAAAAACCCCCCGGATAATAGATACTGGCAGCTTTACGGCTACCTTGCCTTCTTTGCTGCGCTTCCACAGCTTTTGAGCCTCGGGACAGTGTACGAAATGGTCGAGGAAACCAGTCTTCGAATATACACGGTCCCGCCTCGCAAGCACTTCTGTAGGGTTTGGGGTTGTGCCGCCCTCAATTATGATCTGACAACCTGGGCAGCAGAGGCCGCGCTGGACCTCACCACTTTCGATATTGACATACGGTAGAGTGGTGCCGGCCATATACCGTAGAATAGCGTGGGCTCTGTTTGCAGGAACTGTGGCCGCTACTGACGCTGATGTCCTGGGAAACGTAAATGCATTGAATACTTGCTTCACGGCCACGATATACATTCTTCTTTTGCGGGAAGATTCGTCCATGGAATATATTCCAGGAATCGTATGCAGCAACGGCACAGATTGGCGTAGATGTGCCTGTGATATGCCGAGTAGCTTCTTGATTTCTGCAGCTAGCAGGACTCGGAATCGGGGAGAGAAGGTAAGACAGCGGATGCAGCACCTCTCGAGCAATGGGAGGAAAACAAACCCGCTAAAGGCATCACATTGGAGACAGTCTCGGGTGCAGAGCACATTGAAGATGTCTTTCAAAGTGTACCACGCCGCGATATTTGTGCGTAGGATAATGCATATGGCTTTGAGAGCATGCGTTATAAGGGGTTGGTATCCAGGCACGGCGGAGGCGACCTGGCGAGCCCGGAGGTTGACTGGAATACGAACAGAGACCGCAGATCCAAGCAGAGCAAGATTTCAAAGAGGATCTCAACGGGAAGAATCTGCATTTGGCCAAGGGTTTTGACAGCCGGGCAATTGAACGGACGAGCCAGGGAGTCTGGAACTGCATCGTGTACTCGCGGATTCAGCCTGGTAACCGCCAGGTCGAAGTCGCGGCGATGATATGTGCAGACGCGAATTGTATCGTCCATCCGTACTGTTCATTCAGCCATTCGACTTCATACGAGGAGTATCTGATCAATTTCAACTGTCAATTATCAATCGACTCCCGGTGTAGCTATTCCCGGCGCTTTGGGGCTCTCCACGCAGGCGCTAAGCTCATGCAGGTCATAACTACAGCTAAGAGAGCGCACATCTTTGTCTCTCCCATATTGATACACCGACGAAAAGAGAGAGAGAGAGAGAGAGAGAGAGAGAGAGAGAGAGAGAGAGAGAGAGCCGGGGATGGCTCTGGCGAAAGGAGCAACAGCCTGTGCTGGCCCGGTTGACGAAGCTATTCGGCTGTTTGA